TGTGTAATTCATATCGTAAAACTTCCTGATAAAGCCTACCTTCAAATTTGCTACATCATTTAAACATATTAAAATAGATCAGAGCTGTTTTTTTCAGTTTGCCATGTTAGTTGGAATTAAATCTTATGAGCTAAATTACAATCACTTCCTGGCGTTTGATTGTATAATTGAATCCTGAATTTTTATTGTAATTCGGCGACAATATAATAAGTATTGTTCTACTATTATGATACCACTTCCTGACGTTCGATTGTGTTCATACCAAGTTCATATTGTATAATCGGGAAAAAACGGCGTTAGCGATAGCTATGAAATGAATATCACTGTCATTTTATATATCAATTTATATGGGAAATGTCATCGATCGTCCTTTTCCAGCCAACTGGACGCCGTTTTTTTCAGAAGCATATCAAGTGATACCATAATATAGTACTATATTACGATACATGGCGTTCGATTGGGCTTAAACTTGGTATACTATAACTTCAGTGACATTGTAATATCATGGTACCATGGAGCATATAAAGTGGTACCTTCCATAGTACCATATTTGATGACATAGCAATATTAGGTACATGGCGGTAATAGGGCTTAAACTTGGTATACTACGTATTTTCGGTGACATTGTAATATGATGGTACTATGATGCATATCATCTGGTACCATAATATAGTACCATATTATGTACATGGCGTTCGATTGGGCTTAAATTTGGGATACTACGTATCTTCGGTGATATTGTAATATTATGGTACCATGGAGCATAATAAGAGGTACCATAATATAGTACCATATTACGATACCATTTCCTGGCGTTCGATTGGGCTTAAACTTGTTATACTACGTATCTTCGGTTACATTGTAATATGATGATACTATGATGCATATAAAGTGGTACCTTAATATAGTACCATATTTCAATACCATTTCCTGGCGTTCGATTGAGCTCATATTTGATATATACTTGCGTATTTTTGATGACATTGCATTATTATGGTACCATGAAGCATATCAACTGGTACCAAATATAGTACTATATTACGTACATGGCGTTCGATTGGGCTTAAACTTCATATTATTATATTATACTACGTATTTTCGGTGACATTGTAATATGATGGTACTATGATGCATATAAAGCGGTACCTTAATATAGCACCATATTACGATACCATTTCCTGGCGTTCGATTGGGCTTAAACTTGGTATACTACGTATCTTCGGTTACATTGTAATATGATTGTACTATGATATATATAAAGTGGTACCTTAATATAGTACCATATTACGATACCATTTCATGGCGTTCGATTGTTCTTAAATTTGGTATATTACGGATCTTCTGTGACATTGCAATATTATGGTACCTTAAAGCATATCAAGTGGTACCATAATATAGTACACTATTATGATATAATTTCCTGGAGTTCGATTGGGCCCAAATTTGGTATACTTGCGTTTCTTTATAAAGATTTCTTTAATTAATAATTTTAATTTATTTTACGAATTTTAATTTATTGTTCGATGTCGTGACAGCAACTTTTATGCCGAACTAATATATTATTAATTGTACCTGTGTCACTTTTAAAATCTACCTAGGTCTATATAAATAACGTGACAAACGGAAGAAATTTGTTATTATAGTAATTTTTAGTCAGTTAACATTTTTTGTACTGCATTTTAATAAATTATTTCCATTATTATTAAACTTATATTTCATTACTAACGTTCCAGCATTAATAAATATCACTATCAATCGCCCTGTATATTATTAGTTTTAAAGGCAATTAAAGGTATTTTCTTAGTTAACATTATAAGGTAGTGTATATTAAAAATGTATATGTTTTGTAATAATATATATACTTAAAACTATTTTAATAGCCAAAGGAATAATTAATATAAGTGTATCTGACAAGAAAAGAAGAATAGAAAGAAACACATACTGCATTATACACAGTAAAAAGAAAGGGATGCCAATTCAAGTCTTTTTGAATCTGGCAACTGTGCATATTTAGCCGAGCTATAAGGCCGGCGACGAGCCGTCGATCCAAAACCGAAAGTTCAAAATTTCTAATTATATTCTGATTATGATATTGTCGCGCCATCTAGTATTCTATTTGTGCAATTTTAGCTCTTTCATTTCGAGTATTTTTCTGTTGCGTAGCTAGATATTCTGTGCTATAAGGTATGCGAACTCAACCCTCAGCATAGGAAATCAACTTATAGAACGGGTGGAAAAATATCAGTATCTTGGCTGTTGGCTGCATGCGGACTGGAACCCTGAGCGAGAAATTAGAACAAGAATAGAAAAAGCGCGCGCAGCATTTCTTAAGTTCAAAAACGTACTGAACTGCAGAGACATCCAACTGCAGCTGCATCTACGATATGCAAAGTGCTACGTATGGTCCGTTCTGCTCTATGGGGTGGAAGCGTGGACCATGAAAACTAATACTATAAATAAATTAGAAGCCTTTGAGATGTGAACATACAGGCGTCGCTTGAAAATATCGTGGACCGATAGGATAACTAATGAAGAAGTACTCAATATGATGCAGAAGGAGAGAGAACTATTAAATATAATTAAAAAACGGAAGACCTCCTACTTAGGACACATAGTTCGAAATGAAAAATACAACATTCTGCGGCTCATACTTGAAGGAAAAATAGAAGGCAAGAGGGGAATAGATAGAAAACAGCTGTCATGGGCAAGAAACATCAGACAGTGGACCGGTTTGAAGACTATAGGAGAGCTCATAAACACCGCAAGAGATAGAGACAGGTTTCAACATGTGGTCGCCAATATCCAGTGAATGGATAGGCATCTGAAGAAGAAGATTGTTTCTTTGTGGAGTGACGTCTCTATGGACTTGAGTAACCTGGATCATCAAGGGTAAATGGTGACACATAACTCAGATGACGATACGGACTTAAAGTCTAGTACTTATGAATATAGGGCTGAAGCAAAAAAAAATTGGGCGCACTTCTAGTAGTCCATCTGAAAAAAAGGTTACCTACTTATTACAAGCTAAAAGTATCTCACCCTTAAGGACGAAGGAAGCTTCTTTGGGCATTTTTTAACCAACTTCGAATTGATAGTTACTGAGTTGACCGCTTTTAAAGCTGCTTGAGTATCAGATAAGATAGATATTTCTTGTTTCCGATAATTCCTATCTAAGGTAAGTCGTACGCACCTTTCGATAGCGTAGATTTCTTTCTAAAAGATGCATGGAACTGTAAGAAAATATATTGTATATGTATTTGTAAATGGAGAAACATCGCTTTTCGCTGCCCACAACCCCTGAAAACCTGTAGGTAGAGATTTAAATGGCAAAAAGCGTAATATAAATAGCAGCAATCCAATCAGATTCGTTCCAAATGGCTTTCTTTAATGTTCCGGATTAGTTCCTTTTTGATAAAAGCTGGAAAATATAGGCAACGGATAATTCGCCACGATTTGCCAGACGACGAGGGCACAAAGCAGAGGATTTTATGGAAATGTAATTATTCAGATGCGGGAGCGATATTTCGATATGGGTTGTTTTGTTTTTTTCCTCTGGATATATGTGGGTGGTAAGCTAAATTCTCATTTACATTTCGCTCTGCAACTATCGAAAATAAAGCGAAAACTTGAATGACAGTGACAGCTAATTTACAACTCATTAATATTAGTGTTTATCGACAAGTAAATTTAAATTGATTTTCCAAAATCAAAAGATATTCAGGGTGTCCCATTTTCGTGTGTTCTGAAGGGTCTTTTGAAGGTGTGCCTTTCAGCAACATCACCACTTTCACGGTAGCGTGCACTTAATCGCGATATTACACTTTGCGTTGTATTTAATGCTCTAGCTATGTCGATTTGGCGCATTCCAGCTTCGAGCATACCCATGGCCCTTAGCATTTCGTCTCTGTTAAGATGTCTACGCTCTATAATGTCGTTTAATACTAAACAGAGTTATTTGAATGAATTCTGGCCAGTTATCATAAAAACATAGCCAGTACAGGTTAAATTCGAACAATTGATGCTAGGTGCTTTTTATACATTTGACAAAAAATGCACAAACACTTCTGCAAATATCCCAAATTTAGAAATAACTAGTGTGAATACTTCGTTTCAATCGAAGTAGAAAGAATCGGCTTACAGATATGTGGTCGTTTATTCAAAACATTTATTTTTAACTTTAATAAAATGATATCCCTAGATTTTTCCGGCGTGTGTAATAATGGTTTTTTATAACACACGGAAATAAATATTTTTTGATCTCCCTGTTTGATATCCAATTCGTTCAATTAGACAGGTTGAATATGTCGACATTCCTTCACCTATAAACCAAATGTTAGTTTTCAATATGTCGAATTTATGATTTAACCAATGCTTATTCCAGATCAATTTTTTTTATTAATTTTACCCATGTTTTATTTTTTATCTGGAAAACTATTAGAGATTGAAAATATTAAAATAGGTTAGTATAATAGAAAAATTTTGAGATATGGAAGTAGTTTCGAAAAATATAATAATATACCGGGTATTCCATTTGAAATAACATAGATGCTATCACTTTTAGTATGAAGCGGCAACAGTGTAACAATGAAAATAATTTAGACAGATGGAACAGGTGCCTTTATGCAAAAATTCAAATTTTCCATAAACGTCTAACGTACCATGGCTGTGAATCACTCTGTATATATTATGAAAGAGCACCGAACATTTGTTCGTATAACTTACTAACCAAACACATAAACTATACAAAAGAAACGATTAAACTTAATTTTTTATTACAAGAAATTTGCATTGCTAAAATTTACTCAGCCTGTAGTAATAGTTCCAACATCAAAAAGTCACAAAACTGATGTCTTCCTTAATCACAAAAAAACTAATTTTAACTTACACCCTCACCGGAGGACGATAAATTACAGTACTTAACCTCAGAGTCATAAAAAACATCCTCCTAAAATCCGCCCACCAATAAAACTTTCATCGCTTTTTTCTTTTTACTGCTCCAGGGTGAAGATTCTGGAATGTTCGGCGAAAGACGACATCAACATAAAAGAGATATTCCGCTCGTTCCTGTCGCTGTCGAAGCTGGTGCCCAAGAATGAGGTGGCCGATCCCAATACGGGACTGAAGAGGAGGTCCAGCGCTTACGTGTCGGCTACGAGCAAAGGAAAACGAAGGGCGGAGAGTCCTTTACCAGAAAAAGCTTCAGGATCAGGTACGGAGAAAATTTTGATCAATTTAAAGTGTTATATTTTCGTTATTTTTCGCCCTATTTTCATGATTTTTTAGCTAACTGTATATAATTATATCAACTTTATTTCGTAAACTAAGTTTTTTATAAACTTTAGTATTTCACATATTATACAGGGTTAATCGAGGGGTTGTTTTTTTATCCTAAGTTTAAAACACCCTATACAACGACATTTATTTTATTTTAGACCTAATATGATTCTTTTTATATTTTTGGACATATTGGCTTACTACACGACTAACTAATATAAAATTAAAAATCTAAGTGCAACTAGACTGTTATAATTACAATTATTTTATTTCATAATGAGTGAAAATCACCAAAAACAAATTTCATTTTAAACAGAAAATATTGAAAACAATTTTAATTATTTCTCACAACTAATAATAGTCTGTATTGCCTCCTCGAGCCTCAATGCAAGCTGTGAGACGACGTGGCATGCTCTCAATTAAGTTGTCCAGAAGATGTTAAGGAATGACTTCCCATATTTCGCGCCCAGCAAATGGACGCACAATAGACTCTAAAACATCTCTAAGATATGAGGCACCTGTCATTGTGCCATCAATAAAAACAAGAGGAGTTCGAGCTCCGTGCATTATACCTGCCCATACCATAATTCTTCCCCCTTGAAACGGGACACGGGGTTGAGCTGCATTCAAGAGTGCTTGTCTTCCAGATGCTCTCTGGACCAAAGTTCGTCGCGAGTCTTTCACTAGGCCTATTGCTTCATTACTAAACATGACGAAATTCCAATTAGGTTTATTTGCTCTCTTCTCGTCAGCTCATTGTAGTCGCGTAATTTCGTGCTTTGGAACACGTAGATGCCTCCTTAAATGTAATCCTCTGTCATGGAGTCTTCTTGCTATGGTCTTTCTTGAAATATTTACTCCTTCAAGGCGAGCTAACTCATTTTTAATAGCAGTACTAGAAAGCAGTGGATTGCGTCGTGCAATTAAGGATATTTGACGGTCTTGCACAGCAGTAGTAACTCTTTTTCTACCTCTTCCAGGCCGGTCTGTAACCTCGTTTGTCTCCCTGATTTTTTTTTAATATTCGCGAAACATCGCTTTGGTGTTACTCCTACAATTTCAGCTTTTGCAATTTGCCGGTAGCCTTATTGAGACAGTGTTACTATTCTGACTATTACAGTTGAGGGTTGGAACCTTTGTTTGAAAAACAACTGAAACTTTGAAACTGCAAGAAATTTGTTTTCTATTTTAAAATAAAATGTTATAAATGTACTTGTCTAGTTCAAACAATAGAGTTTATACTAGTCTTTAAAATAAACATATCATTTATCTTGCCGCATAACTACTGTCTTCCGTTATCTCGAGCGCATCGTTTGCCAGGGGCTTTGCTAAACCCTTGATCCCCATTATCTTGTCCTAAACTATTCCTCCCAGTTCCCTACCTGTCATCCCTGAACTTACGAAGGACTTATACCAGTATATTAACAGGTTTATCCTTAAATCACCTAGAGACTTGACTGCTTATGGTGTAAACTTTCCAAAGATATTTTGTTGACCTTTGTGGACTATTAATCTTAAATACTGATGATTATTACAACAAAATTTTTGTTAAAATAATAATCTCCAGTTTCAGGAAATTTTGAGTAACGAATAAAGTAAGTAAAATATATTTTACATACTTGCGAAAGTTTATCATAACGATTTAATGCTTTTTTAGTGCTATTATGAAGATTTTCACTGTTTGCTGTTTTTACTTTGCTTCTCAAATCATATGGATTTCAGCAAAATGTTACCTTCTGCTTTATTTACTTATTTTAGGTTATTACTTACTTACTGCCATTATTCGCTGACGAGTATTTGACACGCATCAGAAGATGGTTACGCAAGGCGTTTTATTTCATGAGCTTTTCTGTGACTGGAAAGCCCGATACGTGATGTTATCTCTCTTCCGCACTCCGGACATTCAAAAATCTCCTTACTTTGTTGCATCTTTACTTTTTGATTGTCGTTGTTAACTGAGTTTACAATTCTTCTCCATTGCGTTCTACTGTGCGCTGCTTCCTCCCACTGATTCTCCATGCTTATGCTTATCTACTTTAAGTTTCCATGGAAAATATCCTTGTATCTTTTGAGTTGTCTACCCTCTTTCCTCTTACCATCTACAAGCTCACCGTAAAGAGCAGATTTCAATAGGCGGTTTTGATGGATTTTATACGTATTTTTGCCCTGAGTCTCTTTATATTGAACAGACAGCCGTCGTATCTGTATCTAATGCCCAATCCTCTTTCCTGCAGTTTGCTGTCTACTATAATGAAGAGCGCTGCCATGGATATGTTGAATATGAGAGGCGCTAAGACACATTCCTGTTTTACTCCTGTATTTGATAGGAAGGGATCGCTCAGTGATCCCTGATTTGACGTTCTTGACTTGTTGTTGTTATGGAGGCTTTTACACACTGAAAGAAATTTGTTGGGTACTCCAAACTTTTTCCTAATTGTCCAAAGTGCATCTTCGTTTACAGAGTCGAAGGCTTTTATTACATTGATGAACACAACATAAACGTTTACTGCTGTTCCTTTACTTTTTCCTGTAGTTGGCGGACGGAGAATATGGAATCAACGCTACAGCGGTTGGTGCGAAAGTCCGTTTGCGATTCCTGGAGAATTTTTCTTTTTTGTCGGAGGAATGAATGCCTTTTTTGGGCAGCTCTATATGATTAATAGGTGTATCAATGAGCTGGTGAGCTCAAAATTCGGCCATATGACAACATTCAAAAAACAAAACAAAAATTATCTAGTTTCAAACTAGTATCTAGTTACTTTCGAAATAATAGTATACTAAGTGCCATCTAACGCATATAAGAATATTCAGAAAGAAATCCGATCAAAAATAAGAGAAGCAAAAGAGGTGCTCTACAAAAGAAAATGCGACGAAATGGAAGCCCTTCAAAAAAAGCATGACAGCTTCAATGTCCACAAGAAAGTAAAAGAACTGGCAGGATTACAGAAAAAAAGACAACCGTCAATACTCACTGACCAGAATGGCAAAATCATTATGGAAATGGAAGAAAAACTAAGAACGTGGAAGAATTACATAATAGAATTGTTCGATGATGAGAGAGAAATAAACAGAATAGTAACAGAACAAGAAAACAGCGGACCGGAAATAACTAAAGAAGAGGTCATCCATGCTATAAAAATCATAAAAGATGGAAAAGCCGCAGGGCCTGATGAGTTACCCTCTGAAATTCTCAAGTTGATAGAAGAGGAAAACATACACAGTCTAACAGATCTGTTCAACACCATATACAGAACAGGTATTATACCCAGGGAATGGTTGCTATCAGCGTTCGTCACTATCCCGAAAAAACATAATGCAAGGCAATGCACAGACTTTCGAACAATCAGTCTAATGAGTCATACGATAAAAATACTTCTGAAGGTGATACATCACAGGATTTACAAAACATTAGAACAGGATAACAGCGAGACTCAATTCGGTTTCCGAGATGGCTTAGGCACAAGAGAAGCACTATTTGCTTTGAACGTTCTCGCCCAACGATGTATGGATATGAATCAGGATCTCTATATATGTTTCATTGATTACAACAAAGCCTTCGATAGGGTCAGACACGAACAACTTATCCAGCTTCTGAAAGAAAAGAACTTAGACACCAGAGATATAAAAATTATTACGAATCTTTATTTTAATCAAAGCAGTGGTAAAAATAAGGGAATAACACCGAAGAAATAGAAATCCGTCGAGGCGTTAGGCAGGAGTGCGTGCTATCACCGATGTTATTTAACCTCTATTCAGAGGAAATAATGAAACGAGCATTGGACGATGAAACGAAAGGACTAAAAATTAACGGAGTGCCTATCAACAATATAAGATATGCGGATGATACGATCCTGATGGCTGCCAACCTAAACGATTTACAGATATTAGTAGATAAAGTTAATACATCGAGTAAAGAGCTTGGACTGTCACTAAATGTAAAAAAGACAAAATTTATGATAATATCCAAAACAACACAAAACAATTCACAAATTCATATAAATAACCACACCATAGAAAAAGTTGACAGTTATAAATACTTAGGTACATTTGTAAATAAAAATAACGACTGTTATGAAGAAATTAAAACTAGAATAGGACAGGCGAGAACAACATTTGTGAAAATGAAAAGAGTGCTCTGTGACAGCGATCTCAGCTTGGACTTAAAAATCAGAATGGTGCGATGCTATGTTTTGTCGGTGCTGTATTATGGTGTAGAGGCTTGGACTCTGAAGAAACTTGACATAAGGAAACTAGAGGCATTCGAAATATGGTTGTACCGTAGAATACTTAGGGTAAAATTGACCGATAAAGTGACCAACATGGAAATCCTGAAAAGAATAAAAAAGGAAAAAGAAATTATCATAACGGTAAAAAAAGCGTAAATTTCAGTACCTTGGACACGTCATGAGAAGAGAAAAGTACCACCTACTCCAACTGATATTACAAGGAAAAATTCAAGGAAAGAGATGTGTAGGAAGAAGGCGCCACTCATGGATGAGAAACTTACGTGACTGGTTCGGGTGCACCACAAACCAACTATTTCGGTCGGCTGTGTCACGAATACGTATAGCACTGATGATTGCCAACCTTCGCAACGAAGAAGGCATTTGAAGAAGAATAAGTGCCATCTTAATTTATATTCGATAAAAATATCTATTATTATTATTAACCCCGAAACAAATACTTCATATAGTATTTTAGATTTTATTAAAGAAATATGTAAAATAAATAAATTATTCCTTCTGGTCACTTGTTTTATTCAAAAGATATATTTTCTTATTTTTGCTATTACCTAAATACAAACTTTAAAACCTGTTTCATGTTACAGGTGCTGGAAGCTCCGAAGGCAGCAATCACCTCTCAAAACCGCGGTCCAGGTCTTTGATCCGCAGGGCCAGCAGGAAGACAAAGCAGCAAATCAGGGATGCTCAGGTGGACGAGTGTAATGTGTCCTAAGCACGCCACCCTTTGAGAAGGGGTGATGTGGAGTGTAGTGAAGTGTAACGGTGTGTCAGAGTCGAATAGCCTTTGTGAAATGCAAGATTTACCGCGGACTGTGTATGCACGTAATATATTATTACTCAAAGGATGTGTCGGAGTGACGATGTGTGAGTACAACAGATGATAACTGGAGCTGTGGTGTAAAAAATATAGTTTTAGTGTTTTAAGATTAATTAATATCAGGAATGGTGATTTTATAAGTGAATGAATAATATAAATAATATATTCTGAGTTATTTTATCAGTAAGTCGATTAAATAAAGCAAGTTAACGGAATTTCAAGCAAACATTTTAATATAAATATTTATAAGAAGTAACTATCTAAATGATTGTGGCAAGTTATATTCTGAAAACATCTAATAATATTGCCGCTTAAGGAACTTTATTAAAAATTAAAATATCTCGTTGCTGTAAGAAGCTTCAGTGGTTTTAAACTCTCGGGAGACAAAATTTTCAGTATACAGGGTGGTCCGAACTGTATTCCGGAAACTTCGGCAGCATATTCTGCAGTTAAAAGTAAGTAAAAAAGTTCGAATAAGTGTATGTCCTAAAATGGGGGCTTAGTTTCGGAGGTACAGGGTGTAGAAGTTTCATTTTTATTTCGATTTTTTCCAAATTACTTCTGGTAAGTAAAGTCAATATTTGGATAAAAATTGGGGTCTGTGAGTTTTTTGACATGAGAAATTTGATTTTGATGTCAATATGACTCCTACTTGTAGAGGGCCCCACCTATATATTGTTTAACTGGTTTGAAGTGTAATAACTTTTCGTCCGTACCGGTATAAAACTACTGAGGATAAAAATATACATTTATGACGTTTTCTGCGTAAAAAAGGTCTCTTGGTAAAATCGCTACCGAGTAATGGTTCTCGAGATATTTAAAATCGAAATTATCAATGCCTGTCATCATTGACATAAATTAAACGTGTTGTAAAACCGCGGTATTCATTGAGACTGAAATAATAAATTTGAAATATTTTTGTACCAAAAGTTCAACAGAAACTGTTTTACATTTTTTCGCAGGAAAATTTATGACTAATTTAAAAAAATAAAAATTTCCCAAATTTATTATTTCAGTCAAATAACTATCCACTCAACGTGTTTATTTTTTGTCATTAATGACATGTATAGTCTGTCCAACGAGAAGATCCTTGACAGTGATAGATGTGTCTGTCATTTTAATTTCAAAGTAGTTTATTTTACAAAGAAATGAGTTGGTACAACTGGAACGCGCAGGAAATTAATATATTTAAAATTTGACTGACAAGTGATTACTTCAAAACATTATGAAAAAAACTGTATAAAACTGAAAAAATGTAATCGAGTTATTTTATTTAATCAAAAACGGTATGTATATAAAACAAACAAGAACAAGACACCACATACCAAAAAAATATAAAAAAGAACTAATTCTTATTTACAAGCTTTATGAAACTTCCCGCATTTATTATTATATTTATCAATATAACTAATGTACAAATACAAATTTGTACCGCAGGAATAAATAAAACAACATAAATAAAACAAATTATTTTATTAATAATAACTTACCAAATTTTATACCTTAAAGGTTGATTAATTAATTATAATCTTAATTTTTTTAAACCAGTACATTTTGACATTATTTTTCTGCAATCCATTATTTACCTTTCGTGTGATGTCGATATTTTACCGCTGCTCCAGTTTTTAGTATGTGTATGGTTTTTCTACCATATTCAAGATGCACTTATCTACGACAAGATGGTATACGAACTTTATTGATGGTAACTTTATTGGTGTATAACGGCGGAGCTTTCCCGAAATTCTTCGTTCTTATTTCAGAGTCGAGCGCTCTCCGAGTAACGCGTGCGCATATACGTCATATAGAGTAATCGCTCTCTCGCCGGCGGGCGGTTGGATAAGCATTTTTTTTCCGTTTCATAGTCGATCTCCAGGCGAAGAACACTTGCGCAGTTTAAATCCCATCCGGTGATTTTCGGCCGGCGACTGGAGTATGTCCTTACCATCTCCGGGCGGTCCGCCAATTTAGTCTGGTTTATTTCTCTGGTTGAAAGAAGCACCAAGCAAACTGAATTAATTATGGATATTTATAATATTGTGACGATTAGCGAGAACGATGACATTCGTATTTTTGAGGCCATTATTCATTACATTTGAGGCATATGAATTCCGTCCGTCTATTTGACCATTTAAATGTTTTACCGTTTTGTTTTTGTTATGTTTATGATTTTTAATTTTTCCTATTGTTTTTACGTTTATTACATTAATTCTCTTTGTAATTTACACAAACTGGAAAAAATATACCAAATTCACCAAACATCAGTCATCTACACAAAACAAAATAGAGCCAATTTAAAAATATAAATTACTTCTATTCTGGTCATATTTTCCCTTAAAATAATTTTAAAATCCTTAACACACAATAGGTTAAGGTTAAGGTCTATAAAAATTTATAAACGTAATAAGAACGAATCCATAAAATTTTCAAATAAAACCGAACAGACCTATGGAATTCCCCATTATGTAAATTATTAACTTAATATCCTTTTTATTATGACCCAAAAATATACCTAGCCAAACAAATATGTATATAAAAAATTGTAAATCTTTTTACTATAAGTGAAGGATTACGAAGATATTATTCGATACTTTAAAACAAATTATAACAAAATAATGGACACACCAATAAAATATTTAAATTACCCAATATCAATAAAATATTTAAATTATTAATATTTAAATATTTAGAGAATGTTAAAGTTCGTATAACCGATTTTGTGTAGAAAAAGGAAGAAAACATGTTCCCTGTTGTTAAAACCCTCCACCCGAAGTGAAATTTTGTTGGCGACGCGCCGTCATTTTCGCCAGCCAGCGATGCGCTGGCGGCCTATGAAAGAGCTTTTTTTCTCTCCCGATATCGAAGCGCTCGGCTCGCCGGAGAAATTTTCGGCGAGCGCTTCTTTTCGGCGGGCGGCTGGCGCTCGACTATGAATACGGCTTTCTGCCTGGGCAGCGAGTATTAACCATAAACTGTGCTCTGGGTCTACAGTTAATTTTCACTCAATTTTTTTCCTCCACTTGACTTCAAAAGACACAAAACACACGTAATAACACGAATCAAAATGTATCATCTTCCAAAACGCAGGGTATTTGACAAAAGTTGACAGAAATTTATAACCTATAATTTGGCAAGACTTTGACAAGCGTCAAAAATCTAAAGGCGAGTTCATACGCATCGGCGTCCGTTTGTCGTTCATCGTTCCGTCAAACCAATAAAATTGAAATACGATCTGTCACTTTTGAAATAAACCAATAAAATTGGTTAAAAACAACAAGAGCAACCTGTCCGTCGCATGACGGATTTATATTTAAACCCATCCATAGTTAACTTAAAAATTTTTAGAAACTTTTTTTAGTAAAATAAATAGATTGGTATGTGACGTCATCTGCTTTTCTTCTGTCATCGTCTGTCGAAATCTTACCTGAGAAAAAAAAACAGAGTATATTGACTATTTCCATTCTAAATATCTTGAGAACGGTTGCTCGTAGCGATTTTTACAAAGAGAATTTTTTTACAAAGAGATTTTTTAAGAGCCGTTTTATACAGGTACGGACGAAAAGTTACTACTCTTCAAAACAGTTAAAACACATGTAGGTGGCGCGCCCTACAAATAGGAGTCATATTGACATTAAAATCGAATTTCTTATGTCAAAAAACTCCCACACACTTTCATTCAAATATTGACGTTACTTCATAAATTATTTGGAAAAAATCGAAATAAAAACGAAACTTCCACACCCTGTATCTCCAAAACTAAGCATTTTAGGACACACATTTATGCGAACTTTTTTACTTATTTTTATCTGTAGAATATTCTGCCGAAGTTTTCGGAATACATTTCGAACCACCTTGTATAATGTCTATACCTTAAAAGTCTCAGTGACTTATCAAAAAAGAATACCTAAGAATACAGTAATTGAAAATCTTTGATGCAAGTAAAGGAACAATACAAAAGCATTTACAATATTTGAAGAGTTTCTTACAAATCTGTTCTTAGAGATAGTACGAGTAATGTTTAAACTTACAAGTACTCCTAGTAAAATTAAGTACAGATGCTTTTGCCTAACCTAACCTAACAGATATTTTGATTTTTAAGTTTTGTTTCTGTGGCGATATTTCTAGAAATATAGTTATTATGTTAATATTCTTTGTTGTATAGATATTAGATTATAGACTTTGATTAAATTCTTTGCTTTAAAAAACACCCTAAAATTTATTTATGATACTAAACTTACTAGATTCAAAATTTTATATAACTATTATTTTTTTTACGGTCTTGTTATGAATATTACAATAACAGAAATTATTCCGAGTGTTTCTCAAAAGTGGCTCACCTCAATAACTTTTTTATTTTATCAAATAAAAAAAGAGATTTGGTATTTTTTGTATATGACATAAATTAGGATTGATTGACGTATTCAGTTGTTTTTTGTCACTTCCTGTTTCATCAAAAATGACTACAAGTATTGAATTTTAAATGGCACCCTCGGTTATTTTTACTTTATTCGATAGAAAATGACACTCTGAATACAACGACATATGATATGTCAACGTTTGACACGTTCGCATAAGATTTCTCGTTTTGTTTATCTGAAAAAATAATGGAGTTATAGAGGTGAGCCACCTTTGAGAAACACTTGGTATAGACATGCTATTAGAATGGATACCTTGATTTATTACGACGTGGTGTTTAAGCAAATTATAACTTAAGACAAAATACACTGGTATTAGAAGATACCGAAAGTATTGTCCAATGTTAGAAAAAGCATTGTCCAATATTTTATATCTTGAAACTGTCAACTTGCCCTAAAGTAGGTCTTAAGGTTGGTTCTCACTATACCTTCCGTATCAGCTGCCATTCGTTTCCTTTCTGTTTACATAAAATATTATATAATTGTAAATGAATAGGACAATGCACACCATAGAATAACTAACTGAAAGAAATGAAAACTCCTACGTTAAAGCTTGGAAACGCGCTCGCCGCGATCCAAGCGGGCTACTGCCAGAACTAAAGGTTCGCGCCATATTTTTAAATGGACCTTTACTGCCAGTTCATAAGTTTTTTACTTA